TTAAAAAAGATGGAAATCTGATGGAATGGCAGAAAGGGATTAATACTTTTATTTGGGCTGGGAAGAAACCAAGAGTGAAACTGAAAATTATACAGGATATACGTGAGAGAGGAGGCCTTAAAATGCCTAATTTAAGATTGTATTATGAAGCTGCAGCTTTATCACAAATTAGTGACTGGTTTAACTTAACTGAAGAAAGAATGTTAAATATAGAAGGTTATGATTTGTTATATGGATGGCATGCTTATTTGTTGTATGAAAAAAAAAGTGGATAAAGTGTTTAAGGGTCATATACTTAGAAATGCATTGCTGAGGGTTTGGAAAAAGTACCAATATAAGCTTTGAGCCTTGGTAGGACAGTGGTCTAAGGCACCCTGTTATTAAGACCAGCTGTCTGCAATAACTGCAGGTTCGAATCTCGCTAAGGCTCAAGGTTGACTCAGCCTTTCAAAGGTAGGTAAATTGAGGACCCAGTTGTGGGGGCAATAAGCTGACTTTGTATAAATATACAAAAGGATGAAGGCTATTGCTGAGCACATTGTAAGCCGCCCTGAGTCTCCGGAGAAGGGCGGCATATAAATCAAATAAAAAAAAAAAAAGCTGAACTACAAGATACCTATATGGGCAAACCCCAGATATGTAATAGAAAATAGAAGTACAGAGCAAAGAATAGAGGTGATTACTTATAAAGAGCTTCTTCTTTTGGAAAGGGGCAAGTTGCAATTGAAATCTCTAGATGAATTAAAAGAAGAAGGGATAATTTTTACTTGGTTTCAGTATGGTCAGCTCCAAGCTAGATGGAGGGAGGATCAAAAAATTGGGGTTATGCAAAATGAGGAAAATTTGGTGAAACAGATTAGAGATCAAAGTCAGATGCATATTAAAAGGTTGTATAATGCATAACTGGAAATAGACTCAGAAACTGAATTGGTTAAACATTGTATGATTAAATGGGCACAAAACTTTCAGGAACCAGTGATGATGGAAACGTGGGAAAAGATTTGGGTCAGAAATGTTAAATTTACGCAAGCACAAAATTTGAGAGAGAATTTTTATAAAATGTTTTATAGATGGTACTTAGATCCTAAGAAATTATCATGTATGTACTCGAATTTGCAAGCTAAATGTTGGAGATGTGAATGTGATGATGCAACCTATTATCATATATGGTGGACTTGCAAGAAAATCAAGGCATTTTGGATAAAAATTTGGTGGGTGATGCAGAACATTTTGAAAAAAAGGTTGAAATTTACTCCTCAATTGTTTTTACTGGGTATAACGACGGATTGTACAGTATTAGAAACTAAGTTGATTTTGAACTTAATATCAGCAGCAAGGCTGTCGGTAGCGCAATACTGGAAGAAGGACTTTTTGCCTACTATTGAAGAGTGTATATTGAAAGTAACGAACTTAGCAGAAATGGCGAAAATCTCAGCGTATTTGAAGGACTATAAATGAGAAAGATACGTATCGGAATGGAGAAGATGGATTGATTGTATTCAAAATAAGTATCAGACAAGAAAATATCAAATAGCTTATGAATGAACGTTAAGTATTAGAAGTATTATGTTATCTATAGTGGAGTTAAGGTTTCAGGGGGGATTTAGTAGTCTTGAGGATAGATAGGTTAATTTAGCTTATGATTGTTAATTGAAATACCTTGTATTTTGCTCTGGGAAGTCTGGGGGGGAGGGGAGGGAAAGGGTGGGGGGAATATTGGGGGGGGGAAATTCTTTTTTTCTGTAAAACTTTTTAATAAAAAAAAAAGAGATTCTAGAAAAAGAGCAACGAAGATGATTAAGGAGCTGAAGGCTAAAATATATGGCAAACAGTTGCAGGAATTGGCTATGTCAAGTTTAATGAAGGAATAGGAATGACATGATAGTAGTCTTCCAATATTCGAGGGGTTGTCACAAAGAAGAGGGGGTCGACCTACTCCCAAAAGCCCCTGAAGGCAGAATAAGAAGAAATGAATGGAAGCTTATCATGTAGAGAAGCAACCTAGAACTAAGGAGAAATTTCCTACCAGTGAGAACAATTAATCAGTGGAATGACTTACCTCCAGAACAGGGGTGGGTTCCAAAATTTTTTACTACCGGTTCTGTGGGTGTGGCTTGTTTGGTGACCATGACTTGGTGGTCAAGTGACCATGGAAGTGGCTTGGTGGTCATGTGACTCAGTGGGCATGGCAAGGTGGGGCAGCACCTTGCTTTGAGTGACATCAAGTTGGCCACGCCCACTCAGTCACATGACCAATGCTGCAGAGACAGGGTGATTTCCCACATACCTCCCCCTCCCCTTGGGCTGACAAAATAAAAGCCTATACGCCAAGCAGCCCGGACTGGAAAACGCATGGCTGGGGCAGAGGAACATTTAACAAGCTCCAAACTGTTGCTGCAAACCTGGGTTTTGTTTTGGGGTGGTTTTTTTTGTTTTTTGCCAGAAGCCCCTCAGAGATGCACTATTTTTTTACCGAACAATTTCTGCACCACCAAATCTTACTGTACCTCATTGTTGTGGAGCTGCTTGTTGCTGCTTTGGTCGTCAGGGCTGCCCAAGTAAAGAATTGCACTGTCTCAGTTTAGGGCGACTGTTAGGAGCAAGAAGGGAAGCCAAGGCGCTCACCCCACAGCGGCCAACTTCGCACGCTCTTGCTCCCATGCGTGCTTTCCCGCTCTGATCCGGCGTGCACAAAGAGTGTGAAGGGAGGCAGACACCGCGCCGAGAATCCAAGAGCAAAAGTAGCAGCAGCAAGGGTCCCTCCACAGTCCCCTCCCAGGTGACAGCCAGGGCTTTGCTGCCTCGTCTTTTCCTCAGAGACGCGGAGTCCTTGCGGAGGGACACACACCCCTGTCTCCCCCACTACTTTTGCTCTCGGCTTCTGCCAAACTCATTGTTGGGAGCGTCAGGCTAGCCCCTGAATGTACAAGAAGTCTTGGGCAAAGTTCTTAAAAAGTTCAGCCAAGTCTTCTCCTCCTTCTCGGCCTTAATGTGTGTGAGCAAACACACACACCATGAGGTGTGTGTGCTACTCTGCGTGTTTGCTCTGTGATATGAGGCGAAGAAGGAGAAAACTTGGCCGCACTTTGGAAGAGTCTTTGCCCAAGACTTCTCGTATATTCAGGGGCTAGCCTGACGCTCCCAACAATTAGCTTGGTGGTGATCTAAGGAAATGTCTTCCAGCTCTTCAAGATAAACTTTAAGAGCACCAAGAAGAAAAATAGCGGCAGCGGGGGCGAGTGTGTGTGTGTGTGTGTCCGTCCCTCCACAAAGACTTGGAAGCAGACACCGCACCTCTGAGGAAAAGAGGAGGCAACGAAACCCTGGCAGTCACCCGGGATGGGACCACAGAAGGACACACACACACACACACACACACACACACGCCCCTGTCACCCTTGCTGCTGCTACTTTTGCTCTCGGCTTCTCGGCGCGATGTCTGCCTCCCTTCACACTCCTTGCACACACCGGATCAGAGCGGGAAAGCATGCATGGGAGCAAGAGCGTATGAAGTTGGCCGCTGTGGGGTGAGCACCTTGGCTTCCCCTCTTGCTCCTCACAGTCGCCCTGAGCTGAGCTGGAAAAAGCTGCTTCCATCATCCCCATGTTCTTTGCACATGCGCACCCCATTGGATTTGCAAGGCGACCTTCACCAAATTTCCATCAATGGTACACACAAACCAGTGCAAACCAGTAACAACCCACCATTGCTCCAGAAGTTGTGGATGCTCAATCATTGGAGGTTTTGAAGAAGAATAGCCGTTTGTCCAGAATAGCATAGGGTCTCCTGCTTCAGCAGAGATTGGACAATATTCTGACTTAGTATCCCAGGAGGTGCCTTATTTGAGCTGAGAAGCTGGGTCAGACCTAGTTAATCCTTGGATAGGAGCTACCTAATAATTTTCCTGGAGAAGAAAGCAAAACTAAAACCCACATATTCGAAGAAGGCAGTGGCAAATTGTCACAGAAAACTACATGCAGTAGATATGTATGTCATGCCATCAAGAGTTGATCCTGACTTGAGAGATCACATTCATGGTTAGTATTGGATACTTAATTATTATATAGGCTTAGTTTCACACAAAGTGTTTTCCACTACCTAATGTTTTTCTTTAGGGAACTAGTTTTTTCAACAGACAGAATTCAGAGTGTTGGAGGAAATAACCCTTTGTTTTGAATTGGTCAGCATAGGAAGCATAGCTGTAGCGCAGAATTCCCTTTATCTTCTGTTCTGTCCCTGCTTGACTTGAGTGTGTCTTTCTTTGGTCCTACATTTCTCAATTACTGAAAAATCACTTTGAGACTTTTTTTTTTGCACTGTCCCATAGATATTCTTATTAAGAACAGCCTAGCCCTGTTCTCCTAACCATTAAAGCAGTCTGACTTTCCCCCAAATTTCTGCATGAGTTTGAAAATGTGTTGCCACAACTATGGCCATTAGAACAATTTTTACCAGTGGTCTCATTAAAGCAGCCATCCCCCTTTTTTCCCTTCTCAAAAGTTGGTCTCCTTTAGTGAGTATCAGAGGTGCTGTATCTGCATGAACTCCCAATCACTTTTCTGAATTATTTTTCACTTATTCAAAACCATGGTATCAAAGTACAGCTTTAGTAACACACTCAATAGAACTATCACTGTAGTTCAAGGTTGAACTATGGAGACCATGATACGGTCTGAGCTTGGTTGATTTCTTGCAGATTTCATTACCAATCTAGATAACATCATCTGTGCTAGCAGGAGGTGGGATTTGTGGACTGGAGGAGGGGGAACAACTGTGGGGTCCTCAGTGCTCTCTATGCTTACTTCCGCTTGCAAAAGTTTCATTATCTGATTACATCATAAATGTTTGCAAGCAAACAGCCAAGTTTAGAGAACACCAAGGATGCCATAATGATATACTCCCAGCCAGGTATAATGATATTGGTGACATAATGTTAGGGGGAGATCAATTAATTGGTGGGGCCTTGAAATCACAACAAAAGCAATAATTCTCCGACTACCTTCTGGCCCAGGGGGTCCATGGTCTCCTTTCTCTCCTGTTTCACCTTTCAGCCCTCTTGATCCTGGAAGCCCATCTCTTCCAGGAGCACCTGGCAAACCATTGGGGGGTCCCATGGGGCCTGGGAAGAAACAAGGAATTGCAAGCTGAAAGTAGAGTGTATTCATTTTTTTATTATTGTAAAGAAACAGATTAAGACATTATTTTAAATAAATAAATAAGAAGCATTGACAGCAATTAAAATAAAGAATAAATTCAAGGCTGCGAATAACTTTCAAGAAACAAACACTTCAGAACTGAATGGTCTCTCTCTCTCTCTTTGTATTTATCATCTATCTATCTATCTATCTATCTATCTATCTATCTATCTATCTATCTATCAATCATCTATCTCAGAGAGAGAGAGAGAGAGAGAGAGAGAGAGAGAGAGAGAGAGAGAGAATGATCTTGGAAGGATTAGAAATCCACAGTTCAGATATTCTAGATATAACAATAACAGAGTTGGAAAGGACCTTGGAGGTCATCTAGTCCAATCCCCTGCTCACACAGGAGACCTTCTTTCTTTATTTCTTCATAATATAAATATGTGCAGTTATGGGATTTCACCACAGAGAAACATCTCTCCTTTAGTTGCAATAATGTATTCATCCATGCTCAGACTGTAGAGGGAAGAAGCCATCAATCCCAGTGGGCATACTCTGATTTTACTGTCATTTTAGCAAAATGATGGCACAAGATTTCTACAGTCATAGCCAACTGAGCCAATCTCATCACTTAAGGAAGCTTCACTACTACCATCCATTGCTGTTCTCTACAATTTGAGTAATGTGAATCAGTTGCAGACCCGTTCTCTATTCTTAAGAGTAGAACATATATACAATACCTGGTGGTCCTGGATCCCCTTTCATGCCATCCCGTCCATCTCTTCCAGGTATCCCATTAGCCCCTGGGGTCCCTGGGATTCCTGGAGCCCCTGAACATTTCCCCTCCTGCCCGTGACATGGTGGGAAAAAAATAGCCAGTACTGATGCCACATAAAGCAACGTCAATGATGTCATTTTTGCTTAGCTGGAAACAAAGAAAAAGAATGTGCATTAACATTTTGTAGCATTGCTGGACAAGAGATGCCCATCGTATTACCCGTTCCAAACCCTAATTATAACATTTCAAATGGTACGTTCACCTACTCACAGCTGCTTGTTCCCATTACGTTTATCTGACCCAGTAACATAAAGTTGCGGTAGGGAAAATGCACCACAGAATTCAGCAGAACAAAGTAAAATAAATATTGCCATGCAAAATGTAATAGGTTATCTCCCAAACCAAAAAGAACAAGGTTAGCCCTTAAGACTGGCAGTTACGTGCAAGTTGAAATCACTATGATTTCCCAGGTCAACTTACCATTCTTTGCCACAGTAATGAAGTTTTGAAAGCAGTTTTGAAAGCATCTGATTTATACTTGTATTTATGATTGGGAAACAGCAAACTTAAGTGGACATGTGGTATGTGCTTGTAAAATACAAAAGAAGCTAGGGGTGGGTGAAGTTGATTTACTTGGCAAATACCTGAAATGGGGTGAAAACTCCATGATGGGGACAAAAAACATATTGTGAAAGTGCAGATCAAATTTCTTCTCCAAGTGGATTATTCTCTACTATATAGTGGCACCTTGATACTCAATATTAGTTAATTCCTGGAAGTGCGATGAGTACCAAAAATGATGAGTACCAAAGAAATTTTTCCCGTAAGGAATAATGTAAGGTAGCCCACACAGACAAGTTGTAGCTTGTACATTTGAATATCAAAACAAGCAATGAATACCAGAACAAAAAAATTCAGGTCAAAATGCATTGAGTATCAAATTGACTAAGTTTCAAAGCAGTTGAATATTTTAGAAGGAATGAGCTGAAAGGGACCTTGGAGGTCTTCTAGTCCAGCCCCCTGCTCAAGCAGTAGACCATTTCAGACAGGTGGCTGTCTAGACTCTTCTTAAAAACCTCCAATGATGGAGCACCCACAATTTCTGGTGGCAAGATGTTCCACTGGTTAATTGTCCTCACTGTTAGGAAGTTTCTCCTTAGTTCTAGGTTGCTTCTCTCCTTGATTAGTTTCCATCCACTGTTTCTTGTCCTGCCTTCTGGTGCTTTGGAGAATTTGACCCCCTCTTCTTTGTGGTAGCCCCTCAAATACTGGAATACTGTTATCATGTAACCCCTAATTCTTCTTTTCTTTAGACTAGCCAAACCCAAATCCTGCAGCTGTTCTTCATATGTTTTAGTCTCCAGGCCTTTGATCATCTTAGTTGCTCTTCTCTGAACTTTTTAACAAGGCAACACTGTAATATGTTGAGAGAGAGAGAGTTGTAATATGGAGAGAGATTCACTTGGCAAAACATACCTATAAACAATTAAATTTATCAAGAGGGAAATATTTAAAAGATGTTGGACTCTGTATATATTGAGTCCCACTGTATGTGGGGAGAGCTAGTCACCTTTGCTGTCCAAGGAATGCTTGGGAACTTTCAGAAGCACCACAATGAGTAGATTTTCTTCCTGTCTTGATTTTTTAAGGTCCAACTTTCACAACCATAGGTAGCTATGGGGAACAGGATAGAGCAGACATTTGGCGGCCAGGCTGATATCCTTGCTTTTTCATATTCAACTCAAGTTCATCATTGCTGTGCAACCCAGTGCAATCTGACAATTTATTTTTGAGGTGCATTCACCAGTTTGCATCTCATATGTAGTATCTGCCTACAATCCAGCAATGGTGTATCAGAAGGAGGAAAAATTTGGTTGCTCAGCAAAATGCATGAAACAGAGATCCATTCTTGCATCTCCTGAACGTTAGTTTTCGACTTGGAAGTGACTTTCTCACACAGTCCCAGCACATGGACTGCAACCTGCAGCAGTGAGATCAACATGGAAGATGATTAGGATGGATTTATTTTGTGGTGGAGATCTTAGGGTACCCAGTTCATTGAGGCTTGGTAGGACACTATTCTGAATATGAAGACGAAAGAATGACTGTCTTCCAGTACTTGAGACACTTTCACAGAGAAGAGAGGATTGACAATCTCATGAAGTCAGGACAAGAAGTAAGGGATGAAAGTTTATTAAAGAGAGATCCAACCTCAAGTACGGAGAAATTTCCTGACATTGGGAACAATTAATCAATGGAATGGTTTGTTTCCCTCAGTTGTGGGTGCTCTGTCAGTGAAAGTTTTCAAGAAGAGATTGGACAGTCATTTGTCTGGAATGATCTAGGGTCTCCTGCCTTGATCAGGAGGTTAGATTAGAAGACCTATGAGGTTTCTTCCAGCCCTATGATTCTGTATTCTAAGTAAAAAATGCAAAAATGTAAGCTTCTATCTAGACCCCTTCCTTGCTGTAGAAGTTTTCTAATTACATTACTCCATGAAATCTAAGGTGACACTCTTTCATATCATAAACAGGTAGATCACATTTTAATTCTGATGATTTTTTTTCCAGATAAGCTTTCCCTCACATAGGGAAGATATGCTGGGATCCCAGAATGTCCCAACACATACTGAAGATGTGAAGTTAAGAAGATTGCTTTAGAAAAAACACAACAGTGTCTTGAAAGCAAGGCCATTAGGGCACAGTTCCAATCTTGCAACCACAACAGAACTGAGTCAACAATGACTCTCAGAACAACCATTCTTGGAATACAAAGGCTTCGTTGATCTTCTGCTTTCTTCTATGTGATATTTTCCTAAAGTATGAATAGTCTGTGAATAATACCAGGGACGATTAAGAGCAGTACTTCTTTAATGTAAACATCTCTCATAATTTGAGTAGATCAGGAGGAAAACAGTAAACTTAGCTTGGCTTTGAATGAAAGGAACATTGTGTTCATTTGTCCAAAGAGCTGCATGTTCCTTCTGCTTATTGATTCAGGCATCACATGATCACTCAACTGTTGTTGCTTGGGGAACATGAAATAAACTACATGTCAGATCCCTAAAAGTGATACTGCCATTCAAGTGAAGGAAGGGGGGATGTGGATTCGATTTACTAGCATGGCCTGTGTCATCAGATATTTTACAACCTATATCCTGGCGCCAAGGAAGCCTGAGATTCCCTTTACCTGCAGGAATTTATATGATAGCCATGTGGGTTGTCTCACTTTAAAGGGAAATGGTGGGAATGCATGTTTGTTCGGGTTCTCAAAGGAAATAGTAAAGAAAACATCTTCACACTTGTGTATTGGCTGAAATCTGCATTCTGACCTAAAGGGAGGGGTCTCTACCACTTTAATCCTACTGCTTTGCCTAAGGGCATTCAGATTGTGCTTTAGCTGGATGGTTTTCACTTCTGCTTAATAAAAGAATCCTTTTGAACAACTACGTTTCAAGAGTTCGTACTTTCTTAAGTTGGAAGGAGAGGCGATCCTTACAGAAAGCACAATCTGCAAAACGGTCAACCCAGAGAAGCAATCTTTGCTCTACTGAGGGGACCTTGCAAACCATGTCTGAACAAAGCAGAGAGCTGGGAGAAACCGATTGCTGGGGAGAGACAGTAACCGCCACCCAGTCGGATGCCTGTCTCGTGCAACCCATCGGAGAGGATGAGGTAACCCTGGAGAATCCTGAAAAGCCCCGCTGGTCGATTGGCATCGGGAAGAAAGATGGCTGGGATGAGAGAACCAAAGGAGTCACCCTCAACCGTGGCAACCGAAAACCGGGGTGGAAACTGGAACTAGAAGCCCTTACTGACCAGGGGGGGTTGACCGAAGCACCCCTGAGGGAGGACTATCTGAAGAGGCATATAACCCAATTGGTGATGGAGACTTTGGAAAATCTTAACATCCGAAGGGAGCCAGGACAACAACCAAAGAGCACTGAAAGGGCAGCAGTCATGGATGATGCCAGGGGAGGCACCCCCCTCCTGGAGGCCGCCTATCGAGCAGATGGTGCAGCAGCTACTGGAGAAGACCCAGCAAACCCTCCCCCCACAGGCAGCACGCACACCGGCGCCCATTCCCAATCAACCCCGGGCTCCTCAGCTGGAAAGAGAAACTCCCCCTCTTGGGGTGAAGTTTGATGGGAATCCGCAACAATTAGGATTCTTTGTGGCACATGTGCTCACCTACATGCAAGAGTATGGGCGTGATTTCCAAACCCAAGGCTCCCGAGTGCGAGTTGTGACCCTAGCCCTAGAGGGTGCCGCAGCCAGATGGATGGTGACCCTACATAATGCCAACGCACCAGAACTGCGGAATTTCAACCATTTCATGATGGCCCTGCGACGTCGGTTCGAGGACCCACTGGCAGATCGCAAAGCACGTGACCGCATTAAGGTGGTGAGGCAGGGGCGACGGCCAGTAGCAGAGTATACTGAAGAATTCTGGGACCTCGCGTGTCATGTGCACTGGCCGGAAGATATTTTGGTGAGCTGTTTTAAGGACGGACTGAGTGATGATCTATACAATGCCTGCGTGGCCCGAGGGGCACCGAATGACCTACATGAATGGTATGTCACCGCCGAAGAAGCTGAGATAGATATGGCCAGAAACCAGTATCGAGCGGGGCGAGCAGAAGAAATCCTCACCCCAATGGAAGCAAGAGCCCCACAAACCACAAACCGCATTCTCCCCGAGATCTTCAGCCTGTTTCAAGTGTGGAAAAGAAGGGCACCGAGCTGCAGAGTGTCGTTCGCAAACACCTGCCCGGAACCACCCACCGGGGGAGGGTCCTGGAAAACTGGGTTGGCGTGGGAAGGAGATTGCCCTGAGGAGCAGGGAGGCTGTAGAAGTCCCATCCCCTCCCCTCTTTGGGGAAGAAACCCTGGCATCTGAACAGGAGGAATCACATCACACGATCCGGAAGCGATCCAGATGATGAGCCACTGGTAAGCAAACCAATTAAACCGCTTACCCTCCCCTTAAGACTATTTATCCCAAACCAGAACAGGGAGATAAGTATCCCCACCCTAGTGGATTCGGGGTGCACCCGTTGTTTGATCAGCCCAACCTTAGTAGGGAAGTTAGGGATTAACGTAAGAAAGCTGAAAACCCCCATTGCTTTCTGCCAACTAGATGGGTCAATAGCAGGAGGGG